GTTCCTTTGTGCTGCTCTTCAGATGATCTCCTGCTGACCTGTGATCCTTCTCCAGATGCCTATTGCTGGCCCTGGCATCAAACTGGTAGGAGTGGGATGGATTGAGGTTCCCCTTCCCCTGGCAACTTTAGTTTAAAGCCCTCTTCACCAGCTTGGCATTTTACATTATATTAGTACAAGTTGTAAAAATACAAGTTGGTACTTTAAAAAGTCAATTATTCAAACCTGACAATGTTTTTGTAGCCAATAGCACCCATTTTGGCGTGTGTGGATACTTTGAAGTATCTTGCCATTGCAGATGGGGAATTAGAGTACATGGAGCCATCAGCATGAAGCAGTCTTGAGTCCACGGACCTCAATGAAGATGTTAAAGGAAAGAATGGGGACACTAGTTTCCCCCTACTCACATGATTTTGTAACTTAATAGCTATGAGATGGTTGTCCCTGCTATACTTGCTTTTAAATTGAGATAAAATGGTAGACTTAAAAAACTTAGCAGCAGTCTCAATGGCAGTAAAACCGTTGCTTCCCCAGAGTAAGATGACGAGATGTGCTGTTCTGTGGACAGAGCTACTGTCTGAACATAGAGTATCACTGACAAGTTTTTGTGCTACAGTGTGAATCTGAGGACTAGCAGATGTTTACTTGGTTTGGGTGCTTGTTATGGCAGGCACTGCCTCCAACAAATGTGTCCTTTTTGTTTTTGTACTGCAGCTTGTCCTGATTGGTGACTAGGCGGTAGAGTAACAGGATTTAGAAATACAAATAGTGATCTCAGTGCCACTTCTGAAGTAAGCAGTGTGACCACGGCACAGACTGAGGTTCTATACCATAGTAAATCTCTTGCATGTTAGGATGTGTGCAAGTTCTGGTCAGATCACTTCATATGCTAAATAATATCACATCAGAAATGGGCCAGAGCAGTATGATCCTATTTTCTGACTGAGGAAAGATACTTTTGTGTGTAGGCACAGAATGAGAGCTTACATCATCTGAGTTTAGTTCCCAAGTTTTCCAAAAACTCTGTAGACCTTCGACAAATCACCAACCCCTGCCTCACTTCCCTGTGACCAAAATGGGACAGTAAATCTTCCTTTCTTTCCAGTTTAGCCTGACTTGTCAAGTAGTGTGAGCTCTTTAAGGAGTGGGTTATCTGTTGTTCCAAATGAATGCGTATCAATGAGCCTTGATCTCCATAGGAGTTTTGCGTGAATAAAGAACTGTGCTGGTTTTGGCTGGGGCAGAGTTAATTTTCTTCACAGTAGCTAGTATGGGGCTGTGTTTTGGATTTGTGCTGAAAATAGTGTTGATAATACAGGGATGTTTTCATTGTTGCTGAGCAGTGCTGACACAGAGTCGAGGTCTTTTCTGCTTCTCACCCCACCCCACCAGCGAGCAGGCTGGGGGTGCACAAGAAGTTGGGAGGGGGCTCAGCCGGGACAGCTGACCCCAACTGACCAAAGGGAAATCCCACACCATGTGACGCCATGCTCAGCATATAAAGCTGGGGGAAGAAGAAGGAAGGGGGGGGGGGGTTTCAGAGTGATGGCATTTGTCTTCCCAAGTAACCGTTACAGGTGATGGATCCCTGCTTCCCTGGAGATGGCTGAACACCTGCCTGCCGATGGGAAGGAGTTTTGCTTTGCTTGCGTGCACAGCTTTTGCTTTACCTATTAAACTGTCTTTATCTCAACCCACGAGTTTTCTCACTTTTATCCTTCCGATTCTCTCCCCCATCCCACTGGGGGGGAGTGAGCGCGTGGCTGTGTGGGGCTTAGTTGCCAGCTGAGGTTAAACCATGACAAGAACACAAAAGTGGGACGCTCATTTGTGCTATGTATGGGGGAAAACAGTGTATGAGCTCCTGGATGTAGCCGGATTCCCTTACAGTTAAATGCTTTTTAACAGTCTTCTAATTATTCTCAGTTTATCTACACTTTGGGCTTAGTGGCCTCATCTATAAAGGATATGAGTGTACCCCAGTAGTGCAGTGTAAAAGAAGAAACCTGTGAGGCGCAGAGAATCCTGTTTAAGTGGTTTGGCTTTTTCAGGAAGTCTGCAGCAGGGCTGGAAGTTGAAACCCTGAATCCTACCTTTAAAGGGGAAGCTGGGAACAGATGGTTCCTTAGCATCTCCAAGAGAGCATATACAGCAGCCACATCTGCTAAGCACTTTCCGGTGATGACTCATTGTTTATTCCTCCAAACATGGTGTCTGTTGTAGAAAGAAGCTGTGTCTATCACTTCAGTCCTTCCCTCCTCAAAATTTATCTGCTGTCTAGGCTGACTGTCAGCAGGGGAGCTCATGAGCAGTACTAGTGCTGAGGTGACCAGCCTTTAGCTTCAAATATGTGCAGAACCCTTGCAAGTCCGCAGTTTTCTTAAAATGTTTTCAGGCTGTGGATTGAGAAACTTGCTCTGTAGGATTGCTCTGGGGCTGTGACAGATGGAGGGCCTGTCACCAAGCATGTGGTAAATTGCATCTATCCGGCTCCGCTCAAAGTTGGTTTGAGAGGCTGTGGGGTTTTCTGTGGATGAAAGTTTCTTTCTTATATAACAGATCACGAAATATCTGGAAGGCCAGTTCTGTTTTACCTTGCTCTGCTAGCAGCCTTAGAGGACTAGATCTGTGTAAAAGTGTATGTCTCATCCAAAATGTCTCATCCAAAACAAAGTTCAGTCTGAGTGAGGATGTCGTTATGGGGATCATAACCATAGTGTCTGTTTAAAAGCATTTAATTATTATATTCCTAAAGGATAAGAACATGGGATATGGCAGAATGCCTCAGAGGTCAGTAATACCTGCTTTAGGGCAATGTACAAAAGGTACCATCATCACAAAATCTGCCTTTAGAGGAAGTTTAAATATAAGCCCCAATTAATAAAAGACTATTTTCCCTAGAGCTCTTACTGGTTAGTAGTTAAGTATTACAGCTGCTTTTTCATAAAAGGAAATTGAAATGAAATGCAATTCAGTGTTTTCAAAAATCTTTTTAATATCCCTGTAAAACAGGAAAAAACTTCTGTCAAACAGCAAACACTTCTGTCGAAGAGCTGCAAAGATGATGCACAAATGTGGAAGAACAAATAGTGTCATGAAGATTGTCTTCTAAATCCAGAATGCTTGCTCCAAACCACAGAAAAAACACCTTTGCATGAAGTACAGGAATATTTTCACTGAGAAGCTTTTTAAAGTTGTTGTGGTACAAAATGCGAATTGTGCATTTGTGTGCAGTGTAGTGCATTCATTGTATAGTAGTAAATGTGCAGTAATTAAAATCAAAGTGAAAGGCCAAATACCAAATGAAGGTAACAAAGTTATGAACAAAAATTTGGCTGATGACACTTGACAAAACTGTGCAAATAGCCCTTTAAATGCAAGATAAAGATAGTAAATGTGGAATGTATGGAGAGTAATGTTTCTGGGAAGGCTCAATTTCAATGAATTTAAGACAAAACATTGAATTCTGGTTATGTTTATACCAATATAAGTCCAGGGTTACTCCACTGATTTAGAGTTACTCTGGATCTCTATCAGTAAGTTTGAAATTAGTATCTGGCTCACATCATAAATTTCATTTCTATCTTTTCCTGACTTCCAGCAGACTATCTGAGGGCAGAAAGAAGAAATGGCCCTTGGCTTTAATTGTAATTGTATTACAGTGGTTTTTTCTAAAAGTCATACTTTTAATTTGTATTTAATCCCTCATTCTTTCTGAACCATAAACCTCTCATCTGTAATGAAAATAAACAGCTATTTTATTGTCCTGTTTCTACTGCAGTTTTATGTTCAAATGCCTCTTAATATTTTCTCTTTTCCTGAAATAAAAGTTTTAAAAATATGTACAATTCAGTTAAATAAATGCTGTTATAATTTCCTGTGTTTACAAGTTACCCTTCCAATGCACATCTAATAACTTCACTTCCATACATATCACCTTCTAGATAAAGGACTTAGAAGTGGTACTATAGAAACAGGTACATTCTTACAAACTTGAACAGCAGATTTCTGCTCAAATCCACTCAAACTCACACTAACAGAAACGCTTTTTACAAGAGAAATAAACTGTATGGAGAGTTATTTACTCTAATTTAAAGATCTGATTCAGCCCCTGCTGAAACCAGTGGGATTTTCCATCGATTGGTTCAGAACCTAGATAAGAATTACAAGGTAGTTAATCAATGGAAAGGATCAGGGAACGATGAAATGTATATGCGTGCCACAGTGCACACACACTCATTTCATCTGGCTTAGTATTGCATTCCTTTCTACATGGATGCAGAATGAAAGAATACTGATGCTATCTACAGCTGTTCATATTGCTGGGAAAAGTTAATATTCCGTCCAATTATTAGAATGCTCGTCCTGCTTTGAAGAGAACCAACTAGGGTTTAAAGGCATCCTATTTTTCTGTCAGCTTCTTGGTTTACGATGTCTAGTGATGGTGGTATAAATTCTTGGGCTAGAGTGATGACTGGAAATGGTTCTATATTGTTCAAGCAACCAAAGGTAAACAAACTGAGTCCTTCCACGCAAAAGCATAACTACTGTAGCAAACACTGATTTGCAGTCCAGAAGCCAGGAGTGCACAACAATGTGTACGGGACAACTAATCTTCCAGCAACACCGACAGAATCGTAGGTCTTTATAGTTGCCCTCTGGACAGTAAAGCTAATTCCAAAGGCTGCTATCTTCTTGTCACAGTCCCAAAATATTTTCCTAACAATTAACATGTTATTACACAGAACACGCAAATTGTCCATGGCAATTTAACAGCAGTGTTGCAGTGCTGGCTGGCTGTTTCTCCAAACTGTGAGCCAAGATTTAAATGACTTACCCAGGACATGTTAAGCAAGGTTTTGAAATGCCTTCGAAATCAGTAATCTAACAAAGCGTTTAATATAACACTTGTCTGTGCTGGCTTGACATCTCTTTAAAGCAATTGCTGAGTGGTCCTTGGCGTCCAAGGGGAATAGCAACAGGGAAGAGTCATCTTGCAGTCAGTAGGAATCCATTGCTTGAAGGTTCTGAAGGACTTCCAGCACAACTTCATAACAGAAAAAATACTCATCCTGCATGTAGAGACACCAGTGTGAAACACCCAGTTACATTCAACATAAATTCTAGACAAAGAAGGATGGACTGGCTGAAGTGCTGTTTATAACATCAGCATCTTTGTAACACGGATACAAAACCTTAGATATTTAAAAGCATCCTTGTTCTTTTTGTTCCATCACTCATAAAAGTTCAGGAACGCTTTCTTATTCAATGCAGTACCTGTAAGCATGTGCTCAAGTCTCATTTAGGTCGATGAAGGTTATCTATTTGCTTAATTTTAATCACATGCTCAATCATGATCCTGAATAAAAATATATCGAAGCATGTGCTAAAATATTTGGCTATAGGAAGAACTTATTCTAGCCTTGTCTTGCTTCTCTTCCCACCACCTGTTTGCTCTAAATTGAGTCAGCCACATCTTGTCTGTTCCTGTGTGAAAACTCTTCAGGGGTAGGTTTAACTCAGCAGTAGAAAGGTTTACTGAGGTGATGATAACTCAGCAATGGCAAGAATTCAACTGAAGGCTGCAATTTTGCAGCGTAGAGTTTATGGTATCTCACCAGTTTTGTTGTTGATCTGTGCTTTTCTTTTTGCTTAAAAAAAAAGGGGGGGGGCTGGTATCTGTACTATATTGGTGCTTCGCTTTTATTTCAGTTAGTTAGTAAGGGACAGATCTTTCATATTTAAATCTATACACCACTTGCCTGGAAGGCTGTTATTTTCCTCAAATGAGAGGGCTAAAATTATGCTTTAAGTCCCAGATTTATCAAAGCATGTGGATCTGTACCACTAACTGAGGCTTTTAAAAATCATAATCTAGTTGAATATTGAGAACTTACCTTAGTTTGGATCATGCCAAAACGCTGATGTCTTAGATCTCTCACTATCTGCTTGATGTTGAACTATAAGAAGAGAACAGTTTTTATTTTGTTGACATGCAAGTTATAAAGAAAAATTTAAGCATGTTCAGATGGGGAAGCTGTGTCAGTTCTTTCGCAACAATAGTTTATTTGTAGTTATTATCTTTGTTGTGTAAAACAACAAAAGCTGGGTTTATTCCATTTTGTTAGGATGAATTCTACCAGGAATTACTCTGGTCTAAGATACCCCCACATGTTGTTGACCTCCATATGAATTTGTAATACTTAACGATGATCCGTTTGATACTCACACATAGATCTTTTTCTATGTAGCTGAGCAGAACTTCAACACACAGCAAAACTCCACTTCTTCCAATGCCAGTGCTGCAGTGAGCAACAATAGGTCCTGTACTATGAACTTTTCTCATGTAACAAATAAATTTTACAAGCTGCTCAGCCAGCTTGGGAGTATTGCGGTCTGGCCAAGTGGTAAACTGCAAATGATTTATAATGCGTTTCTCTTCTGTCTGGAAGAGAAAGACCAGAAATGTTAAAAATGATCAGTCCTAAGACCAATTTTCAAGGAATTCCACTGATAAATTTTCCTTCAGCCTCATTCTTAGTCAATTGTTTGTCTACCCTACAATTCTTCAACTTTTCATACTTGACCCTATTAAGGTTTCTTTTAGGTTTTCAGAAATGCACTCAGAAGACACAGGCCTAGGAAATTTACTTCATATAATTTTGATGAGACACTGAAGTTACTCTGTTGCCCCAAAAGGATGTAGTTCTCTTATTTGTTGGTTAGAACGGAAAAAACAAAAACATTTGTTAAATTAGAACATTCCAGTACTGTTTACTAAAATTGTTTTTGTAATTGAACTAAGCTGTACTGATAGAAGAGTAGTAATATGATAGCCTGATAGTAAGATTGTAAATGCTATTCTGGCTATCATCGGATATAAAAGAACAATTTGTGATTAGATACCCTAACATACAAACCAAATCAACTAAAAAAATGCTTACAAGAATAATCATAATGTAGATAAAATAAAGAGTATTATTAGTTGAATGGTCCTGGGACAGTACTTCTTGTTGCCAGCTTGCCAAAACATGTTAAGCTGAATGCAAAAGAACTACCTGGATTTTTACCATCAGAAGAATTTGAATGCATGTCTGGATTTCTGCAGAAGTAAACCTGTGGCCTTCTGTAGCAATTTGGTACTGGCCCAAGACAAACATAGCAAACATAACATGTTTGTTGAAACAATCACATATAATGGCCCATTTCCCATCTTAATAATCTTTTAGGAAGACTCATATCAAATGCTTTACTATGCTTCACACTCAGTGACATAAGGTGAATTGTGTTTTTTTCATACAGAGAAATTGTTTTCTTGATGGAAAAAGACACCAGGTTAGTCTGGCACAAGTATGAATCTTTTAATTATTGCATTAATTAATATGTCCTGCAGAAATTTTTGCAAAGCTTTACTTAATATTGTGGCAAGACTGATGGACTTATAGTTGTCCCGATTTCCATGTTCTTACACCTGGATTCTGTATTTCTTAGGTTTCTAAAAACTTGCTGCTAGATTTGTAGTATCATGTGTATTCATGTCTTTTCATGAATGAAAGAAGTATCACGTGTTCTAAATTCTAGGATGAAAACCACCTACTTCCCTCTTTCCTTCCAGCCACCATTACAGAGTATGAACCCACTGGGGCAGCCCTTACTGATTTAATTTCATGAGAACAGTAAGCAATTCTGCAAAACACTGAACACACCAGCTCTGTGGCTATTAAAGGACTAATTTTTGGATATTCTTGTCCAAATGTATGTAATGTTGGATCCATTGCTTGTGCAATGAGCAAAGCAGCAGCGTCTCATTAACCCTAATTTCATGCCTGTTACTCAGATTTTTACATTCCTAAAAAATACTGAGCAAATGTTATGGAAGAAGCAAACAATGCTACTAGTATTTACTCATGTAAAATATCTGATCAATTTCATCACATATGAAAGTATTAAGTATACTCAACTTACCTGCTTGTTGATCATTTCTATTGTTCTAATTATGAAGTATTCCAGAATCTGGTAATTGTCTAGCCTGAGATGGAAATTAGCCAGGTCTATAGAGTCACGGGGAGGATCAGGCCAGTATCGATGGCACTTGACTTGCCCTAGCTCCACTTCTTTTGTCATCATGGCAATCACATCTGATTCACTCTCCCAGACCATTTGCCAGAAATCAGCCACAGTGGATGGCAGAGGCCCTTGGGTTATAATATAGAAAAGTTCCTCTTCTCCAACTTTCATTCTAATGTAACTTGCGTTAATGTAGCCATTCTTTTCTCCCAGAGGAACTCGTGTACTATCATCTGTACAGAAACAGAAAGTTGCTATTTCAGCTGTAGATCTGCAACAGAGTTCTACCATCTCTAGCGCTCAGGAGATGGGGAAGCTCAGCCTCTAGCAGCAAAGTGTGCCTCTGGATTTTAGAATACATTTGGCCAGTAGCACTAGTATTAATCACTGCTAATAGGAATTCCCACAGATAAATTGTATGGTTCACTGCAGCTTTATTTCTCTTAAGATACTTGCATAACATTCTGACAAGCCTTCTAACTACCATAGAATTGTTCGGCAGTAATTCGAAATAGTGTATCCAACACTGCTTTTAATGTGTGGCATTTTTGTCACTGGATATGGTGTTATAAAACAGGAAGCTTCTGAGAATGTATACTGTATCACTAATATACTGTGCTACAAATTTTGCATGTGTTGTCCTGCTGCTGCAGTTTAGAAAGACATCAAGGGTCCAGAAAGTGTTCTCCTTCTGTCATGATACCTCTCAGGGAATCATTAGGCAGCACACTATTTATTGGAAATCCTTGTTAACGGCAGTCATTCAGCTCTTGGACTCAAATCTTCCTTCTAAAATGACTTCTCATCAGCGATGAAACTTGTTTCTGACTCGGATCAGAGCTGAGCAGCTGAAAACTCTGGTTGGATGTTACGCTTTCAAATACTTCTGAAAGAATCTTTGTCTTTCCAAGAGCTACATAACTCCATGATTTCCACTGTACTTTTCAGAATTCCACTGTGTCACAAGCAGTAGACATAGCTGTACATTTAAATAGATTTAAAGAACTGCTATTATAGTTCAAGTTACACTTGCCCACAGAAGTGTAGTAGATTAATATCTCTGAGAAAGAGGGAAGGAAACACCAAGACAGCTGGCTCCCTACCAGACCAAGTCCTGCCTTGTGGAAGATGATAGTTCAGAAAATTACATATTGTGCAATGCAGACATCCTTATGTGAACTCTACCTCTTTTGGGAAAATCTCAATACATTTCATTATTAGTGGAGCTCTCTGTGACTAAGGATGTGGTGGGATTTGCCTGCTACATCCCAGTGTTATAGCTGTTCTTCTCTTTTCCGATGTCTTTGTTCACTGAACGCATGTTCTCATTACTGCGCATACTTACATGGAAGAATATCTTGGTCTCTGTTTTTATGCTGGTTTTCTGGTGCTTTGCCAGTTCTGCAATCATCTATTGGTTTCACATGTTCTAAAGCCTAGATGAAAGAGAAATAGTCAATCCATGTTGTTCACATCCTTTATAGACAACCTTTACAGAGTCGGTGTGAGCAAACTTTACTGCTATATGTGACCAAAGACTGGCAAATAGACTTCTTACAGAAAAAAATCAGTACATCATTCTTTAAACTTCTAGGCAAGGAATTCAAATTGCTTTGTATTTTCTTCAGCCTGCACAAAATGTCTGGGGTTTTCAAGTGAGAATTCCAACCCACATCCTCAGCCCCTGTCACTACAGATCCCTGTTGTATATTGCTGTAAAATAGATGTTTGGAATAGCGTCTAGGCCAAATGCAGCATTCATAATTGCTAACATACTGCCTGAAGCACCAACTATTGCACTGTTAACAGGTAGTGAATGTCAGTGAATACTTTTCAGTGACAGAGGAAGTGATGGATATAGGGAACAGCATCAATGGTGTTAAGTGCAAATCCTATGGTCGTCAGTACTTCGTGGCAGATTTAGGGGAC